CCCCGGCGGCGCAGGGAAGGCCCCCGGATGAAAGCATCCCCATCAGCCTCCCGTCGGCCACTCCCACTGAAGGGGATTAATGCCGGGGGGGGGCATGGATTCATCATCATCCTCACGTCCTTTGGGATGAGGAACGGATGAGGAACCCCCTGTCTGCCTTCTGCCTTCAGCCCTGGCTTACCTCACTAAGGAAAATCTCCTGAGATACTTTGTCAAATGCTTGGCTGAGAATAAGATAGATTGTGTCGAGGGCATTCCCGCACTCTATCAAGGAGGTCACGGGTTCAAAGGAGTAAGAAAGGTCGCCCCTGCAGCGTTTGCTCTTTGGAAACAGTCTCCCCCCAGTCCTCCTCTTCCTGCCTCTTGAAGATCAGCTCTCCTCGGGCGTCTGGTGCTTCCCCTGCTCCCCAGGATGTCTCCGGACAAACCGTCAGCAAGTTCCTTTGGTGCTTCCAGTGCAATTAATCTGGTCCTGGAAAGCTGAATTCTTTCAAGCGTTTATTCCCTGATCGTCTTTCTGTCCAGCCCCAGCCTCACTTCTCCCCTTCGTCCTGCTCTTCACGGTTTCTGGGTGAAGCACATCCCTGTTGATGGAGAACGTAGAGCGGACTCACTCTGCTTTGCCTGGTTACTTGTGCGTGCTCGGCTCGGTCTCCCTCAGAGATTTGATAGTCAACTGATACTTTTCCTGCCAAGCAATTCGCTTTGGGAATAAGCATCTCAGGCAGAGCACAAGCGACTGAGCCATCAAAGGCATGAGGTAGCCCCCCCTGTTCACTATTGCTCTCCATGCCTTTCTATGCTTGCTTCCACCACCTCACACATTCCTTTTGTCCTCCAGATCTCTCTCCTCTTTTCTGGAGCGCCTCCTTGGCTCCATCCAACCAGGACTTTGTCTTCCCCTTCCTCTCAACCCATGCACACTTCCTGCTCACACTTACTGTGTAATTCAGTCTTCACTCTTTCTCTCCAGTGAAGAAACCACCTCAAAATAACTTCTTTCCTGACATTCATGTTTTGCATGCAGTCCACATTCCTTCAGCAACCTTTCCTTCTCTTTTCTCCAGAAGCCCATTCAACTTACTTTTATGCTTCACCTGACGTTCCCAACTTTAATTTCCCTACAACAAAGGAGGAGGAAGCATGCTCTTATACATAGTAATTTTTGCTTCTGTTCACAAACATATAATCCATCTCACGTTCAATGCAAATCACTCAGTTTCTCAACCCACAATATATCATCTACTTACAAAAGCACACACCACATCCTGAGACAACACGTAACAGCAGCAGCACACAACAATCCCTTATGAATTTACTGACACAGATTTTAAACAAACAAGAGGACATCACACCACCTTGTCCATTTCTCATCAACGCTGACCAACTCACTTCCTTTCTTTCTCGTTCTTCAGTGTCCATTTTTCCCTGAGCTCCACCCTTAAGGCCACCCAAATATGGACTCCCTGCATTCAGGGCCTCTCACTGCTCTTGTTCCCTTGTGTGTTCGTCATAAGCAAATCATTCATATTTGCATTCATTCCTTTGCCACGTTTAAATACGAACAGCCTGGGCTTAATCCGCGTATTCGAACCAACTACATTTTTCTAAGCAGAGACTCAGCATACGGTTTCCGTTCTCATT